AACACTGGATGGTTTGTTTGGTTTTCTGTGATATTGACAATGGACTTTATGATACCAACACAACCATCTCTCAGCTCAACTGTAAAGCTGTAGTGTGTGTGATGTTTTCCATTATGTTTTGTCGTGAACTCTTTTCCTTTTAGAATCGCTCTCTCATAGGTTTCAGCTCTGGCATTCTCATCTCCTGATATACTGCAAATTGGAAAGAGGATTGCCTTCTCATTCTGCTCAAGTACTTTTTGATGGGGACACCCCAGCAGCACAATGTCTTCCAGCATTTTTTGCCTTTCTCAACCAGTCATTTACTAACCTGTTAACTCTATGTGATGTTTCACCGCTAGATGTAGTCTGAGACAGCTTCAGAAACTCAGGTGCGGACTGGAGTGTGCTGAACTGGCGTGCAACTTGGGTGGGTATATAATTAGTGCCATGGCACAATCTCTTCAGTGTCTGATTGTGTCCTTCAAAAGAGAATGCAGATGTGCACCACAGGGGCCCATGCATTCTGACAGATGAGGGCAAGTGTATCAGTTGGCGGATATTAAAAGACATGTGGCACAAACCATATGTTGAAGGCATTTCACGAACAAATTTTGTTATTTTGGATGATGCTATTGCTAGGTCACATTCAGATATCTTTTCTTTGAGAAAGGAAAATATTGCAGCCACTAACAGCAACCAGTGTTTCAAGAACCTCGCTGGAAGGATGTTATGGAGCACAGGTGCACTGTAGAAGAGCAGCCAGCTCCGGCACTCTGCTGCCTTCCATTTTTGTGCATCTCTACAGTTCGTGATCCAGTGTGCAAGCGGCTTAATACTATTATTGTCACTTAGGTTTTATCGTTTTTTTAGTGGGGGAAAGGAATACAGCCTGATTGCTATGATCTCGTACTGAGTTAAGATCACATATTGAAATAAATGTGTAACGTATCCTGCATTGTTGTCCATGCATGTTAATCCCAAAATTTTAAGCAGCAACAGGGTTTAATAATAGGAACACGCTATCCATCGTTTCTCTTCCCAATGATGCAGGCAGAAGAAATAAATGAGCAACCGTCGTATTTCATTCCAACTTCATAAGTTTGAATGATCTGACGTAGTTTCGTTTTGAAAGTCCATTCAAATTCGCTAATGGTAATAATTCGCGAATGCCCTAGCTAGCCAGCTAACTCATATTCATAATGCTTAATATAGATATAAGCGGAGCAGAAAACATGCCTGAAGCAGCAAAGTAAAATGCAACATTCACGATCATGCAGATATAGGACAGAGGCTTTTAGTCCAATATTTAAAGGTGAGGAGAGGAGCTCATTTGATTGGTGAAGATTTGACTCGGCTGTGTTAAACCCACTCACGCCTTCTCTCCTCCCTCTTTGCCACTTGCGCCGCAGGAGGGACAGAGGCGACAGAGGAGTATGCGCACTGGGCTGCGCCGGGCACAAAATTGCAAAATACGCCCGGATACATCCTTTTGGCGCTCCCCCATTCATGCGCCTGCGCCCTGGTGAACAATTTAGAGCCCTTAGTCTTCAAAAGACAACGTAACAACTGTATGCAGAAAATGCATTACTTATAGAACAGAGGTAGGTGTGTGTGTGTGTGTGCGTGTGTGTGCGTTGTACTGTATCAATGCGTGCATGCATGTGTGGCTCGACGCATTAGCATTACAGTGCAACTTCTACAGATTCTTTGCCAGGAACATTAGCTTGTTAACCACGTCTGGCTTCAGACAGGACCTCTCACAACTTACGATGTTCGGGATGTACTGAAAAATCTCTCTGAGGGAGAGCTGGTGGCCTGCATACACAAGTATTTTCTTGCCATGTTGCTGAGCCGGGGAAAGTTGATTTTGTGTGTTCTCCACCACAGAAGGGGGCCCTCTTCGTTGTCAGTTGTGGAGGACTGCATATAGGCATTCAGCTCAGTTTCTATGGCAGCAGTGGGATCCATTGGTGCTGTGGCACTGGTAGTGGATCTTTTGGTGAAACTTCTTCCACTCTGGTGCACTCAGAATTCTAGCAAATAGTGAAAAAAAGAAGAAATAAATTTAATTAGTTTTATGTTGAAATATTATAATACAGTATCATAATATAATAATCATCATCACTGTATGAAGAACAATTTTCAGCTCAATTTAAACAAACATTTACTGGAATGTAAAATAATGCATTTAAATGGAAGGAACTGTTCTCATTTAATCCATTCCAACCATTATAGTTACCTTATGTTCCATCGTCTTCATCTCTAACACCAGTCTGGCTTTGATGATGGGGGCGTCGTTAACACTGATGTACTGTGTCTTGTATCTTGGATCTAAGAAGGATGGCACATCCAGGAGCTCTTGTGTGTCTCTATCTTTGTTCTTGCTATTCATGAACTCCAACATTTTCTTTTTTAAGCACTTGGTCATGTCAGTGTCATCCTCCTTTGGTGTTAAGATGTTTGAGTTAAACAGGCTGAGTATTGGGTTGATGTGTGAAACACTAGCATAATCCTCCCCTGATAGAGCATCCGGGAATTCAAGCAGTGGTCCCAGTGCCTTGCCGACTGACTCCAGCACGTGGTATTTTGTAACATTTGTCCAGCATCCGAACCATTTTCTGAAAGCCCTCTATTGTGACAGTTACACGGATACCATGTCTTTTGCAAGGTGGTATGTTATAGCATCTGTAATGTCTTTGTGTGGACTGGCCTCATATGGCGAACGCTACAGAACGCATCAGCAATCAAGCTTTGCTTTGGCTTCACTTGGGATGACTGAGAAGTCGCCCCGTTTCTCTCATTGCAATACATTCTTTGTGCAGTACGGTGGTGCTGTTTCAGGTGGTGGAACAGTTTGTTGTGCTGCCTTGCTTCGCGCAATTATTGTCAAGACGACCTGCAACACCTTGCCCGGTTTAGATCCTCTTTTGACTCCAAATACCTCCAAATAATCAGATGACCTTTTTTTTTGCCACTAAATCCCGAATGTGCAGATTCTGCACGGCCTTATCTTCCATACACTGTTTCTTTTTAACTTCCCGCTGTGTATGTAGTGCGTGTCGTGTGTGTCTCCTCTCTGCTCCCTCCCTCGGATGTTTGTCATTGGCTGGCTTAAGCTGTCGATCCACGCAAGCATGAAATGAGGTTTGTGGTTGGCTGGCCTTAGCTGTACATTTAAAGGAGCCGTGTATAAAAATGTATGTAGATTAATCATAAAATGGCCCTGATATATCACCAGAAATTAAGGAATGATACTAATTTCAAATACTTTTATCACTGACAACAGTAGTCCAGCCAGAATATTCTCATTACAAAAGCGAAGTTGCAGCCCACAACTAATGTTGATGTTGTCATTTTGTGTTTTGACCTGTTGCCACCCTCCACCTATCTCCCAATCACGAGTCAGTAGCATTTCGCATCCAGGTTGCCAGTTGCCACTGAGCTGACTACCAGCGTTGAACAAAATGTCTGATGTATAAAAGCCTCGTTATGATTATGGTCATCGCCAACAATTCCATCAGGTTAAGAGAGATCCAAACTGCAATCATCCATGACGACAATATCTTCGCAAATATCAATTCTGTCAGCCTTTCCACTATAGACAGAGTTTTGAAAAGAAATCAAATGAGGATGAAACAACCCTACAGGGTGCCATTTGGGAGGAATAGTGAAAGAGTGAAGGAGCTGCGATACCAGTATGTCCAGGTAAACCATTGGTGTGCACATGGTGTATTGTACAGCGAGTTTTACTGTACTTCAATGATGTCTGTATCTTTTGAAGTTGTAGATACCCATACAATAAAAACTGAAAACATTTCTACTTACTACTAAACAGTCACATTCTAGAATAGGCGATGTAAAACTAACTTTGTATTTTTTCTGTTTTACTATTTAGAGAATAATGGATCTGGAGGCACAAGAACCAACCCACATTCTTGTTTTTGTGGACGAAGCTGGCTTCAATCTTTCCAAATGCAGGAGCCGTGGCCGCAATGTCATTGGACACAGAGCCACACTTGCGTACCAGGCCAACGTGGGGGCAATATCACGAGCAAAAGGCTATATCTGGAGAGAATGGTGTGAGCACACATATTCCACACATTGGGCCCTACAACACCCACTTTCTCCTGGCCTTCCTAGTTACACTTCACAGAGATCTAATACCAGAACATGAAAGATGCTTTAGTTAGGCCAGATTTGCCAAACTATGTTGGCCAGGGGATAATGTCAGCTTCCTACTGAGCCAGTGCCATTAGAGAATGGTTTGCTGCACATCAAAGGATGACAATGGAGTTCCTTCCACCATGCTTCCCGCTCTGAATCCAATAGAGGAGTGCTTTTTCTAGCTTGAGGTGGAAGGTATATGACCATTGGCCACAGGACCAGATGTCTCTCTTTGATGCCATGAATGCTGCATGTGAGGACATCACAGGTGATCATTGTAGGGGATAGTTGCGCCACGCAAGGAGATTTTTTCCCAAGGGAAAACATCAGGTGTGATGTCGACGAAAATCTCTGGCCAGATCAGCAGGACCGACAGGAGGTCCAAGAAGATGAGAACTTATAGTGTCATGTAGCCTACTGTGAGGAGGTACAAAGTTGTTTTTTGTTTTTTTCCTGAACTACCGCTGTTTTTAAATTGTTGCAGGATGTTTGTTTCCTTTTGTTTTTGATTTTTTTGCAAGGATGTCATTTTGTGGCACATTTTCTGTTCAATGTATATGACTTTACATGAAAGATCAAAAATAATAATAATAATATATCAGTTTTATATAGCGCTTTTCTAGGCACTCAAAGACACATTATTCATTGACTCACATGCTGATGGTGGTAAATCATATTTGTAGCCATAGCTGCCCTGGGGCAGGCTACAGCGTTGGCTGGTATGCGCCTTGGCACGCTCCCCCTCCGGAAAGCACCACACCACCAAAACATTCGTGATAATAGCTATACACCAGCAGGAGGACACTGAGGTAGTAAAGTGTCTTGCCTGGCGATACATCAACGACACATGACTCAGACAGAGCGGGATTTGAACTGCCAACCCTTTGGTTATTGGACAACCCGCTCTACCTCCTGAGCCACACCGCCCTAATGCATTTTTCTTTCATTTACAGTACATGTAACAAATTGCGACAGAAATAAATTTACTGTGTACATACAAATGTCCATATCCTTTTTCTGTGTACTGCAGTGTTGTGCAGTATTGACTTCCCCAGTAAACCTTTTCCTACTGTTGAAATCTGAATCTAAAAAGCTCAGTGTGATACACAATAGTATTCAGCTATACAAAACTGACATTTTTGTATAATGTAGTAAACTGTCAGTGTCAACAAAAAGTAGAGCAAAACAAAAATTTGTGTTTGAGAAACATTTCCAGGGTTGACTATCATGGTGAAAAAACGGCTAAACATTTTGAGCAGTACGGCTCAAACGATGACAAAAAAACTTTTCATTTTGGTGGCTTTGGCCAATTGACTGACACAAAAATCCAGGTTTTGCAACATGATTGAAACAAGTTTGGGGAAGGACACTTTTTGCAAACATGCAATAGAGTTTCTGATGTCCCAAGGCAATGAAGCCAGACAATTGCACTTACAGTTTAGAGAATGTTAATATTGATTGTTTCAAGAAAATGAGCCAAACGATTGAGAAAACTGTAACTTATATGGGCGGATGATCTCAGTGCGACACAGATTCTGGTTTGGGAGCTAGACTTGCAGGTCACATTTTAAACCATCTAGGTTATGCTGATGATCTCTGCCTACTAACTCTAACTAGTGGAGGGATGCAGAAACTGTTAAATTGTTGTGAGGAATATGCAGTGGAACATGATTTAATGTATAACGGTAATAAATCTGTATTTATGCTTTTCCGTCCCAAAGGACATAAATCACCTGTTGCTGAGCTGACCCTGGGGGGTAAGGTGTTGCACTGTGTAAGCTCTCACAAATACCTTGGTGTATTTTTAGAGGATGGCAGATGTGATCTTGATGTAACAAGGCAGTGGCAAGGTCCGATGCAACTTACTTTTGATAAATACAGTGGTTCTATTTTATTTTTAAGTATCTGATTTTAAGTTGTGATATCTTTTGTGTGTTTTAATTTATTTTATTTTTATTTTTAATTTATTTACATTTTTTTTTACATTATTCTGAATAATGTCTCTATGGCTGTGTGCTGAAATAAATAATAATAATAATAATAATAACAACATTTCATTAAAAGGGAAACTGTGTACTTAACCTCCAACGGTTTATTTATATTGTTGGAAAACGTGTTAACTAAGAACAATGATTGAAATCGGGTCAATTATCTCATCCGATTCAAGGGATGTTTTCAGCCCCCTTGATTTTCCGTCCACAGGCCGCCACTGCCCTTAAATGATTAAAAATCGGCGTGATACAACGGCACTGATCTTTCCTCGATTAATTGAAGATCGCCTAACATTGGAGATCACATACAAATTGATTTGCAGAACTTTGTGCTCACCTTGGGCATTCCAGCTTACGGCCACCGGAATTTAGGGCGTATCTAATCATTCAAGATTATTTCATACTGCCGCCGAAGCAATTCCTCTGAACTAATTTTAGAGTGCTCTAACTTTTGAGCGCTCTAAAATTTTAGGCCGGTCTCATGACCCATTCATATTGGGAGTTAGAGCGCTGAACAGGCAGCCCTGAAGTGCTCTAACTCTCAATATGAAAGAGGTATCAGTCAAAGGTCAAGGTCACACATGAGGTCGAAAACACATTTGATCCAAAACTTCGTTTCTAATTAAGTTAGAAACTTGAAGCTAATGCCAATTTTTTCATCAACGCACGCGTTCTAGCGGTAACGGATCACAATGACGTCACTCTGACGTAAGTGTGTGAAAATTGCCAATTTTTCGATTTTTGCCAAAATGAATTTTTTTTTTATTCTGTCCTTTAGACAATATGATATATCTTTTTACCTTTTGAATTTCGATTTGGGCAAGTCGTCGTTCTGAGTGCGACCTCTCATTTAGTTTTTTGTTTTGGTCAAAATTTGGCTTTCCTTTCCACATGAAAAAAATGCTTTTCATTTGAGGCCAGAAAGAAAATTGAGCAAAGCTCATTTATATCATTATTAGACTGGTGATGTGACTTATTTGCATGCAGCATCATACCCTCTGAAAAGAATGGGTACTGCATATCATGCTGCATTATGCTTTGAAACAAATGCAGCTTCACACACTTACCATTGCATTTTATATGAATCGCAAGGTTTGTCATCTGTATACCAGAAGAGAAAAACACACATTGCCAAGACATTGTTAGGTAAACTGCCAACTTATATCTCCAGGCTTTTATCTTATCATACCAGCAACTATAGTACTAGATCTACAAATCGGATTCTTTTAAATGTCCCCCGGGTGCATTCAGAGCTTGGTAAAACTGCTTTCGCCTTTTATGCACCCTAGGCGTGGAATGAGCTGACAAAATACCATTACCTTAGGTGCACTCCCTTCTTTAAATTCTTTTTTTTTTTAGTTTTTCACAAACTGCCCTGAGGGAAACATGTAGTTGTTTTACTTAATCTATGATTGATTATGTAAGCTACAGATATCATTGATATGGCCTGTGTATCTTAAAATAGATACGTAGATAGACGGATAGGGCTCTAAATTCGTACACCAGGCGCAGGCGCGGCGAATGGGGGGTGCGCCGCGCCAAAGGGGTGTGTCCAGGCGTATGTTGCAATTTCGTGCCCGGTGCAGCCTGGCGCAAGTACTCCTCTGTCCCTCCTGCTGGTGCAAGTGGCAAAGAGGGAGGAGAGAAGGCGGCTTGGGTATATAACAGCCGAAAGTCAAATTTCACTAATCAAATGAGCTCTCTCTCTCACCTTTTTAATGTGTTGAATATAGAAGCTCTGTCCTACATTCATGGATGCTATCGTTGTACTTCTACTTTGCTGCTTCAGGCATGTTTTTCGCAATCGCTTTACGCCTATATATTAAGCATTACTTAATATGAGTTAGCTGGCTAGCTAGGGCATTCATTAATTATTATTAGCGTATCCTGAATGGAATTTCAAAAATCTAAATCTGAGTGTCAGATCATTCAAAACTTATAGTTGGAAATGAAATACCACGTGTTGCTCATTTATTTCTTCTGCCTGCACTGGGAAGAGAAAGGATGGATCATGTGATTCCCATGGCTACACCCTGTTGCTGCTTTTTAAAATTTTGGGATTTACATGCATGGACAACAATGCAAGATAATGCTATACATTTATTTTCAATATATATCTTTTAACTCAGTACGAGATCATAGGCAATCAGGCTGTATTCCTTTCCACCAAAACGATAAACCGCGGCGACAATAATAGTAGCCTAGTATTAAGTCACAGACTTGGAACGACGTTAAGATTTACAGACGGTGCTGAACGGTGTCTACGTGTCCGCAAGTCTGACAGGGTTTAATATATCTCCGTGTCCGACAGTCGGATGGTCGCAATATAACTCTGTGTCCGGATAGTCGACATTACTTTTAATTTCTTCAAATCTAGTGAATACGATATTAAACGAATGTTTTGATAAGAGGCCCAGTTCTTCAAGATGAGCACCGGAGAATTTCAATCAATGTTTCTGCTTAAGCTCTGCTCAATAAAGAGTTGTTACGTACAATGCCCGTTTTGACATTAAATGCTAAATACTCCGTGGTCTGACAGCCAAAAAAAAAAAAAGAGGACGAGAATTGAATATTGATAAATTCTAAATAAAGAATAAAAAGAAACATTTTAACAACAAACAGAACATCAAATGAACACTGCGATTTATTTATTTTCGGGCCATCTTTTTTGGATGTTCTGTTTGTTGGTGATATATTTTTATTCTTTATTTCGTTATAGATCTGTTCTCATATCAATACTTTGTAGTGCCGAAGTACAGGAGTCGTAGGCGGAGTATCAAAATAAACAGCTTGCGGTTTATTGAACATAAGCCTCAAAAAAACTGCACCACATTTAACAACTCGTCTAACTCAATGCTAGTTGCAGCTCTCTAACCAGTCCGTGCGGAAACTTCTTTACTCCACTGTAATTCCGTGGGTGAATTATGTACACTCCACTACACAAGCCCCAGAATTCACCCATAGTCAAAATCCCCGCGCTGGGGAGGGATGATAGCCCGACCTCGGCGGGTGCGGACAACAGGGGCCGAGGAGGGAGGAGTCGTGGGCGCGGCTGCGCCGTCCACCTGTTTGGAGGGCAGAGGTGTCGACAGGCTCGGGACACCCTGACAGGGGGTGGAGGGTTGGGCCTTGGGGGACGGCCCTGGCATGGGGGTTGAGCTAACTCCAATGGCCGGGAAACGTCCATGTGTGCAGGCTTAACCCTGTCGATAGAGACAGTTTCAGGCCTACCACCAATATCCACGACCAGGCCTTTATCCCCGTGCTGCAGGACCCTGAATGGCCCATCGTATGGGGGACGCAGGGGCCCGCGGTGAGCGTCATGGCGAATGAACACGAAATCCGTCGATCGTAGTTTAGGGGGCACCCAGAAAGCAGGAGTGCCATGCTGCGACGTAGGGACGGGTGCGAAAAGCCTCCGCGGCCTTTAGCAGGGAGGAGCGTTGTCTGGCCGCAGACCAGGGGACTGCATCTGGGATGAAACTCGGCACTGCAGAGGGTTCAGCCAGACCAGTTCTATGACGAGGAACGAGGTCTTTAGGGGCGCACCTGATGCCCAGCATGACCCACGGTAGCCTATCCACCCAGTTGCCATCCGGCTGCTTAGCGCTGGAGAGTTGCCCTCTGGCGGGAGAGCGGTGGAACCGGCCAGACAAAACCATTCGCCCAGGGGTGGTAGGCGGTGGTGGTGCAGCTTGACCCCAACTCCCAGCAACTGCGTTCCAGAGTTCTGAGGTGAACTGAGAGCCACGGTCGGAGGAGAGGTTGGACAGGGTGCCAAAGCGCGCAATTCACGTGCCAATGAATGCACGGGCCACATCGGATGTCGCTGTCGAAGAGAGGGGAATGGCTTCGGGCCAGCGGGTTGTCCTGTCCACTGCCGTGAGAAGATAGGTGAAACCGTGTGAAGGTGGAAGGGGGCCCACCAGGTCGACG